TCTATTCAAGTTTAAGAAGTATCAGTGAAGATAGTGTAGTTGAATCTGGAGTGAGAGAGGAGACTGATAGGAGGTAAGGGTGAGGAGGAGTTCAGCTAGAATTGATGGAATTTAAGTGCTATTTTTAAAGCATTTCATAAATCAATTAAAGTATTTCTAGTGGTCAAGGATGGAAGTAAGTTGGCCCATTAGTTCATTTTTAAATAATCAAAGTGAAAGGTAATACTGGCTGAGATCAAAATTTGCAGTAGGAAAGGTGGTGAGAAGTAGTTGGACTCTGAATATATTTTGAATGGAGAGTGGACAGACTTTAAAAGATTTGTTGGTAGATTGTAAGAGAAATACAGGACTAAAAATAACTCCAGTGATTTGGGCTTGAACAACTGCAAGAGTGCCATGTACTGACATGGGGAAGAACATGTGGGAGAAGATCAGAAGTTACTGTTGAACTCTGAATGCTTTGAACTATCAGGTGTACAGTAAATTGTTGAGATGAATTGAAAGTTCACAAGAGAAAACTGAGCAGAGAGTATGAATTTGGGATTTGGAGCATAGGGTGATACTTAAAATCATTACACTGAACAAGATCATCCAGGTAAAGTGTTAGAAGAGAAGAAGAGAAGTCCAAGAACTGAAGCCTGTGGAGGGTTCCCCACTCTGTAGATAAAAAGAATCAGGAGCACCCAGCAAGGCAAAAACAAAACAAACAAACAAAACAAAAACAAAAACACCCAGCAGACCTTGATAACCAGGAAAGCCAGTGAAAGGACATTACAAGGAGGAGGAAGTGCTCAACTTTTCATGCTGATAGAGTCAAGTAGGATGACATCTAAGCTTTGGATTTTGTAAGAGAGAAGTAATCTGTAACCTTGACAAAAGCAATTGTAGTGGAATAAACACTTGACCAGGTGGGTTCAAAACAAAAATCCAAGAGACAGAATGGGAGCATACTCTTTCAAAGTGGCTTTTTGGCATGATAATAGAAAATGATTTTTCTCAGATTTTCCATAGTTTGGACTAAGAATTTCTTTTTTTATTATATCCTCATGTGATTTTTATATGTATTGGGTTTGAGAACCCCTGCTGTAGCCTTTGGTTGGCATTTGCTAACCAGTCATTCTTCAGTGTAGCAAATGCACATGATTTAAAAATCAAATGAAAATTCTTACCACCACTGACTCTTGTGGCCAAAATTTGCAGTTGTCAGTGATTCTCATCAATCTAGTTACAAAACAGGAACTTAGAGGCCAGGGACAAAAGTAAAAGTTCTTTTTGTAATTCCTGTTTCCCAGAAAGGATGTCTAATCAGACAAAAGGAGTTAAAAGATCTCAAAAATATTGACATCTTGACATTTTCCTCTTCAAATATTCTTTGATACCTAGCATCCTTTATTTTAAAGAAAACAAAATTAAAAAGCAAATTAATTTTGAGTACAACTGCCAAAATTTTCTGTGAAGTATTATAAGTTCCAGTTTGTGGTGGTGTCTTGAAAATAGTACGGAATAAAAAATAAACGGTTGTATTGATTTATCTGCTCTGGGGAAATTTTGTAAAATGTATTTACTAAAAGGAAGCCATCTCACGTTAGAGTAATGTTTTTAAACTTCACATACTAATGAAGGAATTCAACGTGGTTTATACATCTTTACCCTGTTTTTTACTGTGAAATTAGGAATGAAGGAACCTCCTAAAGTTATCATAATACAACTAAAGACAGTTTAGTCTTTGGATGGTGTTAAATTATTTTGAGCCAAGAAAAATCTGTCCTATTTTTAAAGGTCCCAAAGGAAGGCAAATTAAACTTTCCTAAGCAGTTTATTCATTTTCTTTCAAAAGGGTCCTCTTTATATATACCAAATTATAGCCTCTATTAATATGCATTAAGTAGCTGACCTTTTAAAGCCAGTTTTACCTTATTTCATATATTCCCATCTGAGTTACAAATTGTAGTGTGCTAATGGTAGCATATTAAGGTAGCCCTGAATGAGTGGATGGCTTCACTGCAAAATAGTGCAACTTTGGGTAAGTCATTTACTTTTGTACTGCCATTTGCTCCTATTTATAATATTGGATTGCAGAATCCTAAGAGAGAAAGGTGAAGAAAATATCATAGACTTTAGATAGTACAGTGATGGAAATTATTGCTTACCTTTCATTTTGGACTCCAAAGTTCAGACCTGCCTGTTCATCGTGTTATCCCCAGCACTTCGGATCTGTAACTGACTTGAATAAATGATTAATTTATATGCTGGTAGGGAAGTTGTTAAGAGAGTAAACGTTTGAACTGAGCCTAAGGAGACTCTTGTTGGAAGAGGAAACCATGTTTAATAGGAAGACTAGTAGGAGAGAAGACTGCAGGTGAGAAAGAATCTCATCTGGATTGAGGGGAGATAGTAGGAAGTAGAGTAGACTGAAACAGTATCCACAGTGTGGAAGGCCTTGAATTCTAGGTTAAACTGTATTTACTTCATTGACCCAGTATTTTAATATCTCAGAGCCTTGTGACCTGCCTAAATTTCAAGGTTATTATGAGGGTGAATTAAGAGAAAAATGTGTAAGTGCTTCAGAGCCTGTAAGGTACTATAAACATGCCGGTCCACAACTTTACTTTTGTCTTGGATTTATCTTACTTACTCAGCTGGTCCCTGGTATGTGTCTTCCACCTGTGGCAAATTTACTTTTTCACCTTCATTCTCTAAATACTTCATTTACTTCTGCCCTTCTTCCTTTGTTTGTTCTTTTACTTCTCTCCACGATAGTCTTACTACTACTTTCCATCCCATCCCGCAAGACCAAACTAACATACCATTTTACTTTATCAGCTGTCTGTTATTGTGGACTTACCAAAGAAACAAGTTCAGTACTTTCTACCTACTATATTTTTATAGTACTATTATTTTGTATTTTAAATCTCTATCCATAACAAGATGATCAGCTCTCTAAGGGCAGAAGTCAGTGTATTGACTTGTTTTATATCTCCCTTTTGCCTATCTTAGGTCTTAACTAAAAGCAATTATTTATGAAGCGTAAAAAATGTTGAGATTATCTGTATCTTAGGTTTTCCCAAAAATAGGGAAACTTTAAATCACTGAAAACTTGAAGTAATTCCCTTCACTAGTTAAGTGGCTTTCCTAGTATTTAATTATATAAAAACACAGTTCATATTTAAAATTGTATTGCATGGAGTACTGGGTGTAGTACATAAACAGTGAATCTTAAAACACTGAAAAAATAAAATAAAATTTAAAAAATAAAATAAAAATAAAATTGTATGTGAATCCGTTGATTGGGCCCACCCATTTATAGTATGTGCTAGTACAGGGTGTGTAATTTTATCTGGAGATGAGATAGAAGATTAGTAGCCAAAGACAGGAGGGAAAGCAGGAGAACAAGAGTGTCACAAAAACCAGTAATAGACAGTGTTTCACAGAGTTTGGAATGATTCGATGTTTTGTATGCTGCTGAGAGGTTTGGTAAGATAATACCTACAAGTGTCTGTTGGATTTGCCAGCCTGGAGAGGGCTGTTGGTGACATTGAGCACATTCCTTAAGTGAACTAACAACTTAAGTGAGGTGGGGGCTGGTACATGTGGGCTCACTGCCATTAAAAGGCATGGCACATTCAAATTCTCTGACCTTTTATGTGCTGAAAATCAAACAAAAGAAACTTTTTTCTCTCTAGAGTGAATCAACTGGTGAAGAAGTGAAAAGTTAAATGTGGATACTTCTAAAATGTTTCTTTATAAAGTAATAAAGTAGAATAAATTAAAATCATACCTGGAAGAAAATGGTAATCAGTGTAGAAAAGTTGTTTTTAGTAGAACATAGATGGAGGATTGTTTGATTTAAAAAAAAAAAAAAAAGGGAAATATGATACAAATTCGGTAATTTAAGATTTGGGGGTTACTTCTTTTAGATTTCTATATACCAATCTGTAGTAGTATCTAGATAATTTTGCGTCAGATACTCAACTAAGTATCTGTGCTGTATGCTGTTTTAGTACTTACCAGTGACTTAGTGGGTCTTTGCAAAAGGCATGTTGCAGTTGTTTTCAACATAATGCAAAGTGTCTTATCTAAAACTCTAATGTGCATACAGATTACCTAGGGATCTTGTTGCAGTCCAGATTCTGATTTATGAGATCTGGGATGTGTTGAAAGATTCTGCATTTCTGACAAGTTGCCAGTTGATACCAGTCCCTGAGTATCATAAATGTCAATTAAAAAATATAAACTAAAAATTACCCCTCCAAAACTCTTACAGATTTTACTTTTTTATATTTTTGAGGCAGATTTTTGTCTTAATTTTATAGTGTGTAGCATAAATTTCGAGGCAGAAAAGAAGAAAAGGCAACTAGCAGGTTCTTTACTGATATTTTCAGTTCTTACAACAACCCCACGAGGTATTATTTTCCCCTTTTTGGAATTGAGGTAACTGAGATTCAGAACTGGTAAGTAGCATGCTATATATAGCATTAGAAGGTCAAGTTTGCTTAGCTATCTGTCTGGTGTTTGTTTTAGCCACTGCCTCATCTTAGTTTTCCTTTTGTTTTCACAGATGTGTTTTTATAGATTTGTACAGATCCATTTTTTCTCTCTTCGGTGGAAATAGCTCAGTCTACTGTATATCTTTATATTATATAGTTTTGGAATTCCCTCATTTAGCCTAGTTCTCCCCTGTGCATAAGATTTACAGGTTTTGCTGATGGACATTCTCATATTTCCATTGCAGACCTTTTCTGAAGTACAAAATCATAAGTGAGAACTAGGTATGTGCTTGGGGAAGATAGCTTTTTACGGTCTTTTGAGCCCTAGACATTTGGTAGAATCCAGTGGTAGGATGGGGAGGTTGCCAGATTGTTTCAGAGATGTAACATGCAAAAATGGGTTTTATCTCAGAAATACCATAGGTTATCATAAATGTATCTTTTTATTTGACTTCTTACTAGAATTTAATATTGATATAAAATTTAATATTGATATAAAAATATTCCTTCTAGAATGTGAAACACAGAAAATATGCAAGGTGGAAGGCAACATATATCCATAATTGTTTAAAGAATGGAGAGACTCCTCAAGCAGGGCCTGTTGGAATTGAAGAAGATAATGGTATGTATTTACTTATTTAAGTAAAATGACTTAGTAGAATCATAATTGTTCCGAATATTATCCATGATTTTTCGAAGAAACAGTACATTTTCTTTTGTTCCATCAGGTCCAAAATCCATGAAAATTAAGTGTAAAATAAGTTTAGGGACAGTGAGAGATTAAGGCCAAACTGCTCTAATATCTGTCTTTATCATCAAGATGGCCTGGCCATCTCCTGCCTGTAATCAGATATCATTCTTACATAGAACAGGTAATCCATTTATAATTTATAAAATATTCCCAAACCACAAAGGACACTATTAATTTTTACATATCTATTTGAGGTGAGGTTTTTTGTTTTTTTTTTTTTTGTCCGAGGGGTAGGTAGTACATTCACATGGTTTAAAATTTATAGGAGATATAAAAAATATATGAAATGAATTTCTCATTTCCATCACATCCCTCATTTGGCCAGATTCTACCAAACCCAGATAAATAAATACTATATTGTTTTAGTTTTTTCTGTCCCTTAACAGATGATTTTTTATGAATTTACAAATAAATAGGAATACATAGCCTCCTTTTTTTTATACTATTGGTAATATAGACACTTCTGCACCTGAGTTTTGTTTTAACTTAGTAAGTGCATGAAAGATTCACCATTACATAATAAGTAGTTTTGTAAAATTGTGGAAAAATAAGGGTCTTACCATTTCACTTCACCTTTCAGTTAGTGTGTAATTGAAAAGAAAAGGAAGGACCTTTTTCACTTGTTTTTATTGATTAGACAACAGGAAATTGACTATTAGGAGAATAATCACTGTAATCTGCATTAAAATTCTAGGTGATCTTTGTATTTTGTTATACAAATTTTAGGCATCTGTGAAAATGGTCATTCAATGCGCGAGTTTCTTAAACCATTTCTTAAAGGGTTAGATAATAAATATTTTAGGTTTCTAGGTCATGAGGTCTTGTGGCAACTTCTCAGCTGCTCTTACAGTGCAGAGGTAGCCACAGGCAATATGTAATCAAATGAGCATGTCTCTATTCCAGTAAAACTTTACTTAACAAAAACAGACAGCCAGCCTGTTGGCCAGAGTTGGCTGACACCAGCCTAATCCAGATCCTTAGATCTGTTTCTGTAGTGAATTTATTAAAAGATTTCCTAATGCTGAACCAGCTCTACATTTTGTAATAAACCTCAGTTGGGTGCTGTGTATCGTGTAAGACTGATGAATCACAGACCTGTACCCTTGAAACAAATAATACATCATATGTTAATAATAAACTTCACTTGGCTCTGTTTTGGGTTTTTTTAATTGCTATATTGATAGATTCATTTCACTACTGCTTATATTAATAGATTCATTTCACTACTACTCTATTGTTACCAGCTTTACATTGAGTAATAAACCTCATGTGGCTCTGTTTTTTGGTTTTGGGTTTTTTTTTTTATTATATTGATGGATTCAGTTCACTACTATATATTTAGGATTTTTGAATTGACATTCATGAGTAAGACTGGTCTAGTTTTACTTTGGGGTGTCAATGTTCTGCTTACTCCATAAGTATAATCTGAATATTTCTAGTATTTTTTTATGCTTTGGAACATTTTGAATCACCTTAGAATTTCCTTTCCCTTAAATGTTTTCTAGAAATTTTTTCGTGAAACCAGCTGTTCCTGGTTCTGGGGATGGCTTGTTGGCACTACTCTTCCATGGGAATTAATCCCCTTAGATTTTTTTTTTTTTTTCAATTTTCTCAATGCCCAGTAAATGAATGTACACTGATGAAATTAATAATTTAGTTCTTATGGGCCATTTTAGTGACTTCTACATATATGTGCTGTCCTCACAGTTTTTCAAATGACAGTACATTGCAGTTCTGTATAGTAATACATTGTACATATTAAGTATCTATAACAAAATGTAACAGCTATGTTGAGTATTTCCATAGATCAGTTAAGAATGAATGGGTAGCAAGCAAGCACATGAAATGATGCTGAAATCTTTAGTCATTAAGGAAAAACAAATTAAGACGATAGCAAGCTATATCATACCTACTAGAATTTAGGGCTAAAATTGAACAAACCAATAGTCCCAAGTGCTAATGAGAATGCCAGGTAGCTGGAACTCTCACACATTACTCATGGGAGAAGAAAAGGAAAACAGTTTGGCAGTTTTTTATAAAATTAAAAATACAGTTGACACAATATCTGGCAGCCCCACTTCAAGGTATTTTTTTACCCAAGAGAAATGCAGACATATGTCCATACAAAGGCTTATACAGAACAGCAGCTTTATTTGTAATTGCCAAAAGTGGAAATAATTCAGATGCCATCAGCCACTGATATTTGCAGCAATATGGTATGGACTGATTTCAGAAGCTAAGTGAAAGAAGCCAAACACAGAAGGCTACAGATGTATTATATGATTGTATTCATACAACTTTCTGGAGAAGGCGGTGCTCTAGGGACATAAATCAGGTAAGTTGAGTACTTGGGGTGAGGGAGGGGTTTACTACAAAGGAACATGGGAAAGGCTTGGGGATGACCAGAAGTGGTGGTTATACATTGTATAAGTTTTATGTCAAAACTGTATACCCAAGATGTGTGAATTTTACTGTATGTAAATTATACCTCAGTAAACCTGCCTTTAAAAGACAAAGGAGATGGGAGGAGAGAACAAGTGAGGAGGACAAGAAAACCTTCTTGTTCTGTTTATTATTTAGAGGACTATTTAAAATAGTGAGGAGGACAAGAAAACCTTCTTGTTCTGTTTATTATTTAGAGGACTATTTAAAATATTACAATGCCATTTGGTGAAAAAGGTATACTACAGTTTTATATATGAATACTCTAAATTATTTTGCAGTTTGTCTTCTATAGATGCAAGCTTTCATACGGCATTTCAAGTTAACTTTTTCTTATCTATTTGTGAAAAACACTTCATGATATGTCCTTAACTAATGTTATAATAGTCTTTTTCACATAGGATTTTTCTTACAGTCATTTTCTGTAATAAATACCTTGCATTCATATAGTGCCTTAAAGCTTACAAATCATTTCCACTTATTCATACCCTCGGAAATCCCTTGGGGATAGTTTATGTTATTACTGTTGTACACAGGAGTAAGTTGAGATTCCACATGGGTTAGGGCCTGCCTAAGGACATAGAATCATGAAACAGAACTAGAACTTGAATCCTGGCCCTCTTATTCTGAGTCCTGTGTCTTTTTGGTATTTTGTTCATTTTTTTTATACCCAGTGCCTGTGTTTTTTACATACTTCCTTTCCTACTTTAATACTGACCATAATCAGGAATGTTTTATGTCTGTCCTACTGTTAACAAGTGTCCACAAGAAAATACCCAAGATCTTCAGGCTTTAAGCAAGAGTCACCACAACGTGGCATCAACCTATTTTACCAGTTTTATTTTCTGTTCCTCTCTTGTATTGTCTTGGGTGGGTCAGGTTGCCATAACAAAACACCATAGACTGGGGTGGCATTCATTTTCTCAGGGGTCTAGAGGCTGGAAAGTCCAAGACCAAAGTGGAGCAGAGTTCTTTTGCTCTTGAGTGCCCACTTCCTGGCTTTCAGACATCAGCCTTCTCTTTGTTCTCATATGACCGAGAGAAAAACAGATCTTTCCTTTTTATAAGGCCACAATTCTATTAGGACTCTACTCTAATGACTCATTTAACCTTAGTTACCTTCTGAAGAGCTTATCTCCAAATATAGTCAAATTGGTGATTAGGGCTTGATCATATGAGTTTTGTGGGGACACAGTTCATTTCATAGCACCTATATATTCTCTTTATTATAGTCATAGATGTTAAGAGCTGGATGAATAGAGACCTTCATCTCTTTCTTTAACTATAAAACCATTCCTCCCTCCTAAATTGCTTATCTTTTTTTACCTATCTGAATCCTGCCTATCTGTGATGTTTTCCCCTTTGTCTGAATTTCTGCAGAGCTATTTTATGTATGTATATGAAGTCTTATAAAATATGTAGCACTTAATAAAATACTTTCATAGTTTATGTTAATATTTGTTATTTATGGAACGCTCGGTATCATCGGGCATTGTGCTAAATATTTTACATATATTAGCTAATTTAGTTCTCATAGCTTTTGAAGGTAGCTGGGCATTTTCTGTTCAAGTTCTAATAACTAGTTAATGAAACTCAGGAGTTGAACCCAGACCTTCTAATTCTAAAGTCTGTGCTCTTGTTCTGCATTTAAGCAGATAAATTTTTTCCCTTCAACCAGTTTTACAAGAAAATTTCTCAGCCAGTCATTAAAACTATTAATTTCACATTCTCGTGAGACCATAGTACCAATGTTACGGGGTACATTTCTGTGCTTCAGATATGGTTTAGAGACCTAAATTTGGAATGAACTCCCACTTCCCAGGACATATCCTTGTTCTTGCATTTTTTAAATGTAATTGTTTTTCATTCATTTTTAAAGAAACTTATTTTTTTAATGTCATTTTGTCAGCATTTCCGGGTACCAGGAATGAATAAAAGACATGATCCTTATAAGAGCTTACATCTTCATGGGGTACAAAAGTTTTAATTAAGCAGTTATAGTACATGGTAATAAGAGATTGTGCCTGAGCTGAGTCTCAAAAGAGAAGTTGAATTAAGTTGGGTAAATGAAAAGGAAGGATGGTACAAATTTTTAAAAACAAAGCAAAACAAAAACACTTCAAAAGCAGCAGGGAGGCAGATTGAGATCTGGCTAAGACTGTAAAATCTGTGTGTGTTTGGGGGGGTGATTTTTGAGAGTGAATTGGAGAAAGATAATTCTGCAGATTGTGAGAAGAATTCAGGGGCTATTAGTGATCTAAATTATAAAAAAACAAAAGCCTGGGTGAGATATTGACATGGGGATAAAGAGAAGGAAATGTAATCAGTAGAACTTAGAACACTTTAATGAGGGAGGAAATGGATGATGATCCCTAAGTTTCCAGCCTTTCAAAGAAATGACTAATACAAGGTAGCAGGTTTGGTGGGAA